CTTACGTCTACAAGAAAATAGGCCTATTTCCGACCGAATTTCTGACGGACAAAATCGGTCGGAAATTACCGACGGAAATCCGACCGATTTCCGATCGTTTTTCGACCGGTCCAAAATCGGTCGYAAATTTRCGACGGAAAAACTCCCGTRGCAATACGGTTGCAAATATCGGTCGGAAATCCGTGGGAAAATAAATCGGTAGGAAATCCGTCGGAAAAATCGGTCGGAAAACGGTGGGAAATTCATTCGGTCGGAAATCAGTAGGAAAAAATTGGAGCTATTTTTGACCGTTTTAAAATTTAAATTTCCGACCGAATTTCGGTGGGAAATCCGTCGGAAATTTCGCAGATTATTTTTAAAAACAGATCACACCTTCTTCCTCCTCCRCTTTCACTCACGAAAATTGTAKGAAGAAAACATAAAAATGGCRKCTTCAAACCCCCCTCAATATTTTCGAGCGTGGATGGATAGACCTTCTCATGATCCAGATACGGGTTTACTTACGGATGAGTTTGTCGATTTATTAAATCCGTCGCAAATCCGTCGGAAAAACTAAATAAATATCTCAGATCTGTTTCTTCCTCCTTCTCTCCGCAGATCGTGTTTTCCACTCGTGTGTGTCGCCTCTTCTCCCCCACTCGTGTTCCGCCGGTTACGCAAGCCACCGCCGGTCATTCTCTCTCCACCGACCGCCGCCTCTTCTTCCTCCTCCACCCACGCCGGTCCTTCTCTCTTCACATTCCGCCGTTGGCTCTTCTTCCTCCTCCACCGACCGCCGTCTCTTCTTCCTCCTCCACCAACGCCGGTTCTTCTCTCCTCACCTCATCTCGTCGGAAAATATGTATGTGTTCTAATTTGGAATGATTTTTGTTAGATTTTGGTAGATTTTGATTGATTGTGAGGAAATTGTGAATTTTTAGAAAATTTTAGAAATTATGAAATTATGAATTGTGAATTTTAGGAAAATTTATGTAATTGGGAATTTTTGGGAATTTATGAAATTGTGAATTTTGAGAAAATTTATAAAATTATGAATTGTGTGTAAATTGTGTGTGAAATGTGAATTT